ATATATATCGGATAACTTGACCTAAGGGTGTGGAGAATGTGTTATATATCGGATAACTTGACCTAAGGGTGTGGAGAATGTGTTATATATCGGATAACTTGACCTAAGGGTGTGGAGAATGTATTATATATCGGATAACTTGACCTACGGGTGTGGAGAATGTGTTGATGGCCGTGAACTTCAATGTGTTGACGGCCGTGAACTTCAATGTGTTGATGGCCGTGAACTTCAATGTGTTGATGGCCGTGTGAACTTTGTCTCCCCAGCAACATTTGCCATGGCAGTGACGCGGTGGAGACTGCCCAGCGGGAGATTGCCTTGTGGTTCAAGCCAGAAGAACTCAGCGACTACGAATTTGCCAGCAAGCCTTGGATCTACGAATAAATATTTCTTCAATAAATAACCCGTACACCAATTCCACCAGCCTTCATTGCTTCATTTTCAGAAATGTCTGGTTGAGGGATTTTCCTAGCGCAGCTCACCAATGTATTTGTCTAGTCTTTGTTGAACAACTTGTTGCTGGTGTCACGTTGGCTGGGACGACCAAGGCCCCAAGGAAAAGTCTGCCTCTGGGGAAGTTTTGGCTGCTCAAAAATGACATATTTTTCTCTTGACTTCGACGTACTGGTACTAGACCTAGAGCTCATATTTTACTTTGACTTCAAGTCCAGATGAGAAAAGAGTCCCTGCAAATTAATTATTTCGAGTACATGTATTTATATATGTATTTTTAATTATATTTATATATAGTGGAAACCATATATAACAGGCCCGGTAATAACGGGGATTAAAATTTTTTAATCCCCTTTTTTCCTACTCTGTCTCTTAAAAGTTATCGGCAATTACAACACAAGGCCTTGTCGGAGCCCAATCAGTTATAGCAGTGGGACAAAGGCTCCTTCACATTATCAATGTGTAAAAAGAGAGACACAGACAGAGTAACGCAGTAATGAAGCAAGCCATGCCACTACAACAAGCACTCTCAGCGTGTGAAGCGAGAGAGGGCTGCGGTGTGTTGCAGTTGCAGACTTCTGTCTAGCCCTCTAGCTACACGCACGCCACGCGTAACGTGTCATGTGCAGGCCTGCCAGTGGCCACGAGAGAGGGCTGTGGTGTGGCAAGGGAAACTACCCATGAATAAATACAGCTAGATTAGTCCACAAATGCTTACTTTCCTTGCAGTTCTGATTTAACAGGGATCGGATGTTGTAACACTGACAGGACTTTTCCTCTGGTCCCACCATTACTGTTATATCAGGTTTCCACTGTATATATATATATATATATATATATATATATATATTAGTGGTTCCATCAGTTTATTATTGGATTGTGAAAAATGACAGTCTAGCCTGCACATTGGGGAATCTTGTTCTATCCTGTTTCTCTGTGTGTGGTGTGTAGGTGTACACGTTTTATGTACAAGGACAGAAGTAAGTTCATGTACATGTACCGTTGATTTATTTTTTTAAAACTCGGGGCCTGAAAATCTGTTGGCTATTGGGCCTACTAGAGACTGTAGGCGTAGAGAGATAGCATCCACACAAAGGCATCTGTTTTCTTGTCGGAAAGTAGATCTCTCGGTCAAGACTGACGTGTTGTTTTCTGTTCGCACAGACTTGTCCATGCTGGAGGCTGGACAGAATACATAGATCTAATAATAATAATGTTTGAGATCTAGGAACTCTCATGACGGGATATTTGCGAATGAGAAGAAGACTAAGAATACAGAAGACTAAGAATACAGAAGAGAGCCTTTCCTAAAACCCCCGGACAGAAAGGGGGGACACATGGCATCCAAATGAGACAACAGCCTCAAAATGCTGGAGTAGGTTCAGAAAACAGTAGGCCCTACTGCCCGAGAAACCGACACTTCCATTTACAAAATTTTACACAGATTTCAGCAATGTTTGTCAATCTTATTTTGCTTGTTTTGTTTTTGTAAAGTGTTTTACGGCGCTCGCAACTGCATAAGGTCATATGAGCGCGCGGGACACACCTAATATTTTCAGTTGGTAAGAAATTTTGAATTTTGCGCGGGTGGCGGCCGAAGCCTACTCTTATCGATTTTAGACCACCAAGGGATCTTTAACGTGCGCAACTTGCACACGGGCCCTCCGAGATTTTTCGCCCTTGTCCGAGAAGGCTAGGTGTAAATCTTTCCTACCAGAAGATCAGGGGTGTGGCAGAAAGACAGCAGTAAGGAGGAACCAAGGAGTAGCAGTAGAAAGGCTGCAGAAAGAGTCAGGAGCCCAGGGGAGGGGGCAAAGGAGGTGAGGGAGTGGGGGCAGAAAGTGGAAATGAAAGCAGACAACAGAACATAGCAAGAGAGCGGGAAAGGAGGTGAAAGGAGACAATTTTAGAGAAGAAAATGTTTTGGTCGCTACCCGGATTCGAACCCGGGACCTTTGAATGAGAGGCCAACACCTTTCTACTATTTCCAGGCCACAAGAGCCCCCCAATCTTATTTATATTTATATGGATAGCTCTCCCGACATGTCTTCAATCTCAAACTCACATTACTAGAATAACGGAAGTTTTCTTTAATTTCAGTGTGCCTTTAGGGTAGACACAAATGTGGTGTTTGAACTCATCATTTACTTGTCAATGGTCAAGATTACCAATTACCTCATTCACGGGGTAGACATTGATTTATTGCGTCACAGTTATACACCCTTAACACACAGTAATATTGTAACATTTTTACAGCTCTAAATTCCTGTGAGCTCAACGTAACCCCACCCAAACAGGGAATATCATATGGCTGAGCAAAATCAGGTCCCACTATTTTTTATCCCATCCACAGTATTTTCTTGATAATTCCTAATATTGTCTAGCTCATCCATTATATTTTCTAGCTCCTCCCAAGTATTTTCTAGCTCATACTGAGTCATACCCAGTACAACAATGTATTTTCGAGCTCCATCCCCAATATTTTCTAGCTCAACCCTAATATTTTCTAGCTTATTCCCAGTATTTTCTAGCTCATACCCTGTATTCCTCGGCATTTTCTAGATCATTCCCAGTATTTTCTAGTTCATCCCCAAAATTTGCCAGTATTTTGTAGCCGGGCCCCAATATTTTCTGGCTTATCCCAAATATTCCCCAGTATTTTCTAGCTCATTTCCAATGTTTTCTAGCTCAACCCTGTTAGTTTCTAGATCATCCCCAGCAATGTGTGTGTAGCTCATCCCCACTATTTTTGAAAATTCCAATATTCCCCGACTTGTCTATCTCGTCTCCAACATTATTAGCCCGTCCCTAATATTTTCTAGCTCATCCCCAGTATTTTCTAGTTCATGCCCAGTATTTTCTAACTCATCCCCAGTATTGTCTAACTCATCCCCAGTATTTTCTAGCTCATCCCCTGGATTTCTAGCTAATCCCCAGTAATTTTTAGATCTAGTTCATCCCTAATATTTTCTAGCTCATCCTCAGTATTTCTTAGCACTTCCCCATTATAACTTACACGCAATATTTTCTAGCTCATCCCAAATATTCCACACACTTTTCTAGCACATTCCTATTATTTTCTAGCTCATCTCCAATGTTTTCTAGCTCATCCCTATCATTTCCTAGCTCATCCCTTATATTTTTCATTTCATCCCCATTATTTTCTAGCTCATCCCTCATATTGCCCATGATTTTTTAACTCATCCCCAGTGTTCCTCAGTATTTTCTAGCTCATTCCCAGTGTTTCTCAGTACTTTAATCCCGGATATTCCCCAATATTTTCTAGCTCTTCCCCAATATTTTCTAGTTCCATCCCAAGTGTTCCTCAGTATTTTCTAGCTCATCTCCAGTATTTTCTAGCTGAACCCTAACATTTTCTACATCCTCTCCACTATAAATTTCCTAGTTCATAACACGGTAGCTCATCAGATTATTGTCTAGCTCATCCCCGGTATTCTTCAGTATTTTCTAGATAATTCCCAGTATTTTCTAGCACATCCCCAATAGTTTCTGGCTTATCCCAATTATTCCCCAATACTTTCTAGCTCAATCCTGATATTCTAGATCATCCTGGGCAATCTCTAGCATTAAATATCAATTATTATCTAGCTCCTCCGTAATATTTTCTAGCTCACCCCCGGTATTCCTGATTATTTTTTAGCTCCTCCCCAGTATTTTCTAGCTCAATGTTAAAACTTTCTAGCTCATCCCCACTAATTTTTAGTTCAAAAACTATTTTAAAGCTCTTCCCCAATATTTTTCACCTCATCCTAAATATTTTCTAGCTCATCCCTAATATTTTGTAGCTCGTCCCCAGTATTTTCTAGCTCATCCCCAGTATTTTTGGTGATAGGGGCGTTAAAAATAAAACCCATACCATTTTTTCCAGTATTTTTGGGCTCCATCCCAAATATTTTCTAGTTTATCCCCAGTATTTTCTAGTTTATCGCCAGTATTTTCTAGCTCATCCCCAGTATTTTTAGCTCATCCCCAGTATTTTATAGCTTAATTTTAACTTTTTCTAGCTCATCCCTAATATTTTCTAGCTCGTCGGAAGTATTTTCTAGCTCATCCTCAGTATTTTCTAGCTCATCCTCAGTATTTTCTAGCTAATCCCTAACATTTTCTAGCCCATCCTTAATATTTTCTAGCTCAAACCAAGTATTCTCCAGACTTCTCTATCTCATCCCCGATGTTTTTTAAAATCTTATCCACAACACTTTCTAGCTCATTTCCAATGCTCCCCAGACTTTTCCATCTCATTTGCAATATATTTTTCACTTCATCCGCAATATCTTCTAGCTCGTCCACAGTATTTTTAAACTCATCGTCTGTATTCCTCAGTATTTTCTTGATCATTCCCAGGATTTTCTAGATGATCCCCCAAAATTTGCCAGTATTTTCTAGCCCATCCCCAATATTTTCTGGCTTATCTTAAATATCCTCTTTTCAGTTCGACCCTGATAGTTTCTAGATCATCCCCAGTATTTTTTAGTTCATCCCCAGTATTTTACAGCTCAACGTTACAAATTTCTCATCACCACTATTTTCTAGCTCAACCGCAGTATTGTCTAGCTCATCACTAATATATTTATTCACATCATCCCTAATATATTTTCTAGTTAATTCCCAACATTTTCTAGCTCATCCTCAATAATTTTTATCACACCCCTATTATTTTCTATCTCATCCCCGTTATTCCCCAGACTTTCTTTTAAAAAAAACTCTCATCCCCAATATTTTTTTAAAAATCTCATCCCCAATATTTTCTAGCTCGTCCCTAGTATTTTCTAGCTCAACACTAATATTTTCTTGTCACCCCTATTAGTTTCGATCTCATCCCTAGCATTTTAGATCATCCCCAGTATTTTCTAGAGTTCATCCCCAGTAAATTTTAGTTCATCCCCAGTATTTTTTAGCTGATCCCTAATATTTTCCATCTCATCCCGAATATCCCTCACTATT